ATTCAAATTTGAGTTACTAAAATTATTGTATTTTTTAAATAGAAGCGGATATCCACATATGCTGTAATATAGAGTATAACATTTGCAAAGATGCAGTCATTCTTGAGTGTACTTCTAATTTCCATCTTTTAGTTATAGTTGGGTACCACATGCATCAGTTGAGCTGCCTGTAAGAGAAACATTCTTTTGTTCATCATGAGGCTTCCCTGCACACAGTCCTACAGGACCTTGGACACATATCTGGTGTGCTTGTACTGGTCCTAAGGGACGTTCTTATCAGCATGTTCTTCCATTTCCAATGAATGCATGTGTACAAATACTTTTGCAGGAAACCTTTCCTCGCTGAGGAATTCCTTATCATGTTGTTGATCATGTTTTATTGGCAAAGATCTTCAAGCGTTGATTCAGAAGTTAGGTATTAGGCTAAAGTTTCACATTCCTTTGTACCCTCAAAACAGCTGAACAATGTGGAGTTGCAAACTACACCTTTGAAAGACCCCCTTACATTAGCATAGAGGGTGGGCACTGCACTGCATTTTTTAATGAACTGGCTCAATGTGATATGCTGTTTACAAAGAGAGAGATGTAAATTAAAAATACAGTATATGTTACTAAGCACAGGCCTGGACCACCAGAGTGTGAGAGCAAATGCAAAACAGAAGTTTAGAGAGATACTGAAGGATATCTTGAATTCCACTGAACACACACATTCTTGAGCAAAGCTGTGCAGATAGAAAGGCAGGTTAGGTCTTTGACTCACCTACACAGCTGTGGTTGTTGCTGGCGAGCTGGTAGCCATCTTTACACTCACAGTAATAAGAGCCAGCAGTGTTCACACATCTGTGCATGCAGTAGTGTGATAGCATACACTCATTTCTATCTGCAAAGAGATTTACACACACACAGTGCTTGAATAAGCTTATATAGTATTCTTAACACATTTACAGGGTGATGGATAGAAAAAACTTTTTTCACAGATGAAGATTTCTTAATTGACCAAGTCTAATGTGGAAGGTAGTGAAGACACGTATTAACATGTTTCAGAACGTTTTATTAAATAAAATCATTGTAGGGAGTTTAATTTAAGTGGGCGGGGGGACCTCAGACCGAGAACCTAATTAAGTTGACTTTCTTACTTACCTACTCACTTACTTCATTTAGAGTCTTAGAGATACACCGAAAAGCTGTCTAATAAACCTGACATTGTTTTTTTTTTTAAGTTGCTTTGGATAAAAGTGTCTGCTAAATCCATAAATGTGACCCTGGACCACAAAACCAGTCATAAGGGTCAATTTTTTTTAAACTGAGATTTATAAATCATCTGAAAGCTGAATAAATACGCTTTCCATTGATGTATGGTTTGTTATGATAGGACAATATTTGGCTGAGATACAAATATTTGAAAATCTGGAATCTGAGGGTGCAAAAAAATCTAAATCTTGAGAAAATCATCTTTAAAGTTGTCAAAATGAAGTTCTTAGCAATGCATATTACTAATCAAAAATTAAGTTTTGATATATTTATGGTAGGAAATTTACAAAATATCTTCATGGAACATGATCTTTACTTAATATCCTAATGATTTTTGGCATAAAAGAAAAATTTATCATTTTGAACCATACAATGTATTTTTGGCTTTTGCTACAAATATACCCCAGCGACTTAAGACTGCTTTTGTGCTCCAGGGTCACATATGTAAATGAGAATGTCTGTTTTGAATGCAATGAGGGCTTCGTCATATGCTGGGCAAGCTTGACAGAAATGCTGAGAACTTTTGTTACCCAACACTTACTGTATTAATTACGGGTAAGAAAAATATCCAGTAAATGTGTCTATTATTTAAGAAAAAAAAATATTTTTTATTTTTGGCCTAGAATTTTAATTTCCGTGCCTCACTGAGATTATTTTGATTTAAAGCCAATTATCATCTTTATTTATTTCACTATAATAAGCATATTATTAACAAACAATATAAGTGTAATGTTGTTTTTTACAGAAGTGTTTATATTTGATACTAATGACATAATAGACACTAGAGAAGACCTCTCCCGACTAGAGTTCCCTCTAGACCAGTTCAACTAAAACCTGTTGACCCTCTAGCTTAACCAGCAACCACACGGACTAGAACGACCACACTGGCTGACCAGTGTTTCACCAGTTTCACCAGATAAGTTTTGTTTTCTAGAACAACCCAAAAACATTGCTAACCTGCACTTACCGGCATGATTATTTATACTTATTACAGGATTATAATTATTGTATATATTGTTATATCAGTAGGCTGCTTTGATGATTAGAGTGCAGTGTGAACTTACCCACACACTGTTCTCCATGTTTCTGGTATCCAGGATGACACTGACAGGTGTAGGAGCCTCTTGTGTTGTAGCAGATCTGGTCTGCATTGCAGGTGTGTAGGCCTTGAGAGCATTCATCTACATCTGCCCAAACATACACGATCACACAGACTGATCAATGCGTGGACCATTGACGAGTATCATGAAATTAATTAACATGAAAAGAGGAACATTCAATTAGTAATCCCTCCACATGGAACCCAGAGCCTAAAGTGTAGCTACAGACTGCTCGATTTAACCAGATTTACTGGACAAAGTGCTTTTCAGGATCCTTGTCACTGCATGATGAACCAAGGATTGCATCATTGGGTCAAATCCCAACATTACATGGCCTTTTCCACCCCTTTCGAGAGCAAAGACCTGGTCCAGAACCAAGTGCACCAAAAGCACAATTTAAGTCTATTTCCTGTTTAAATCCATGATATCTTCCTGTTTGCATTTACAATGCAAATGATGTTCCCCTTTGAGGAACTTGCACTAACGATGTGGGGAATGCTTCTGCGAGACTACGTCTGAAGCAATCCAATCCTGATTGGTGCTGTGTCACTTGTGATGTGTAATGGTGTACTGCGGAAGCAACAAAGGATGCCAGGGGGAAAAAACAGGTTAGATTCTGCTCTTCAACATGTGCTCGGTGTTAAACTGTCTGTCCTGTTGGTATGTGTGTGTCAAAGTAAAAAGAAAAAGAGAGTTAAAGTGTTATTATGGTGAGTTGTTAGTATTGGTGAGTGAGAAGCAGTTTAGATCATGTATACCTCCCTGCCCATGCTACATCATGGGTGGGGACACACAATTTGTGTGTACACAACTTGGGAGCAGAGCATGTGCGGTCAGCTCTCAAAGGGGTGCGCATTGTGAGCAGCTGCCAATCAAAATGCTCCGATCCTGGAGGCAGTGCGGCAGATTCGATATTGGGGGTCGTAAATGGAGCTCCCGGAGATGGCTTCGGCCCTTTCTCGGCTCTCTCCCATGTGCTCCAGCATTTGCACTTGGGATCCAGAAGCCTGCTCCAAGGATTCTTCCACCCCGAGTGAGAGCCCGATGTTGATGTTGTCCAGCTCTGAGGAGGTGGATATTGTCTCTTCATCAAGGTGGGAGATATGGAGGACTCGCCATCTATATCCCCTGTTTATGAGAAGCTGGTGACGGTTATGACCCATACCATGTCTAAGATTAACATCAAATGACCAGCAGAGTAAGTGTGCCACAAAAGCAAGTTATGATTGCCGTCAGGTCACTGACTTGTCTCTGGCCCACCAAGGAGACAGCCGGAGTCATCGGCTGCTCCATGTCAGCATTAGTGACCATGGAGAGAAACAATCTATCAAGCACCAAGGACAGAAATAAAACCACCTTCTTTGATGCCCCGCTGTCTCCTTCTGGCCTCTTCAGTGATGTTGTCATTTTGGCCGTCAAGAGGTTTCAGGAGGCTAAATGAAAATCGTCAGACTTCGAAAGGTTCATCCCCTGCCTTGTCCCGAGATACACCCGAGGTCAGCCTCGAAAATCTTATTCCCCTAGAAGACTTTTTCGACAGCCTAAAAACTTCTGCTGACTGTGTGTCAGTGGGTCCTGCATGCAATAGAAAAGAGGATACAGAATCCAGTTTGATTCTAGACCACCAAAATTCGATGGCATGTTGTCGATAGTGGTGGCCCCAGAGCAGGCTCGGGTAATTAGATATGTTTGCACAACAAGAAACAACCCACTATCCACTCCCTCACATATCCAGCTCCTCTTGGACTGGATGCCATGGTACAGACATGGCCGAGGCTACGTCTATATGCGTTTCCCCCAATTGTACTGCTCCCTGGAGTTCTAGAGCGAGTTCACCAGGACGGGATCAGTCTACTCCTTGTAGCCCCAGCCCCCAATCTGACTGGCCCCTAGTGTGGTTTTAGGACTTTATAGCCCATCTGAATAGTCCTTTGTGAGAGATCCCCATCCGGAGGGAGCTTCCATTCCAAGTCGTGGGCACAATATATGACCCCCTGCCAGAGACGTGGAAACTGTAGGTCTGGCCCCTAAGGCTCCTGAACTCTGGTCTCTCGGCTGATTAATTTTGTGAGTAATGCAAAAACTTTTCAAACAAAATTTCATACTCACATGTTTGTTTTTCAATGGAATAACAGTCCCTTTACATAGTAGGCATAGTAATAGCAGCACAAACGTGCACATATCTGAATGAAACCAGCCTAACTAGCAATAGCTTAACAACATGCAAGCTGGTCTGGTGTTGGCATAAAAGTCGTGCAAAGTCAAAAATGTATATATTCACAAATACATATTTAAAACTTTAAACATCTTATAACATTTATTCAATTGTAACTGCAGTGTAAATACATTCATGCCACCTCTGAGCTGCATTAAACACTCTGTGTAAATGCATCTACAATAAATGCCACTTAAAATACAGCTTCTCTGCCACCTCTGATTTTATTAACTGAGATGGGTGAGTAGCAATGGTTAAGTATTAATGAAGCAATGCAATATTCGAGAATTAAGAGGTTTACTGTTTTTGCAGATGGAGAGGGAGATCGTGGATTTGCTGGAGTGCACACAGCTCTCCAAGATAAAGACTTGGAAGAGTAGACACACGATGGAGGACGTTGGAGACACAGGGAGAATACTGGAAGTAATTGCAGGAGAGAATCGCACAAAGTAAGTCTGCAGGTAAGTGGTCCGTACACCGACTAGTAGACCAGACAATGAACTTGGGAGAAGTGTGTGCTTTTATACAGGAGCTGATGAGGGTGCTGATGAGGTGCTGGTGATCAGTATTCTGTTAACTTTGAACTGAGTGAGGGAGTGACGGTGGAGCCTGGTGACACCGTGACAGCACCCACTCCATGGGCCGTTCCTGAGGGCCGAGGGAACCCAATGTTTTGGTGGCCGACCTCTGCTCCTGGACTCAGGACAGTCAGGGTTGGACACATGGAAGTAGTGAGGAGCTCAGGATCAAGGATATCATATCTGAGGACCTAGGATCTTTCTTCAGGACCATATCCTTCCTAGTTCACTAGATATTTCAAGAGGCCACCACAGTGTCGGGAGACACAAACACAGCCAGATGTCACTCATCGAGAGCCACACTTTCTTCCCTTCAACAAAGAAGAGCTTATCTGGGTTGGGATGGATAATGGATAGATCTTGCCATGGAGCACTGGTTCACCCAGAAATAGGTCTATGGCACTGTCCCATGACCTGTGGGGAGGCAGTTGGGAAGCTTTCTTAGACAAAATATGTCACTGAAGGGGGCGTAGTAAGGAGGTATATCCACTGATTGTTGATTTACCGGACTCTTGATGGACGTGGAGTGAACTGGGAGAACTTTCACAGGTCAATGTGAAACAGGTCAATAAGAATTTGTGGAAGGAGAGGGAAACATTCAGGGTAACAGCCTTCACCCCACTTCAAGACTTCTACTATTTTCCAGGATAGCACTGGGTTTTGTTTATGTAACTATGAACGCCCCAGGATGATGCCAGTGGTGGATTCCTCCAGAACCAGAAAATCCAGAGATTCTTGATGGAGTTGGCCAAGCTGGATGTGTCCCACACGAAAACGCATATGACAGTGGCTGAGTGGTCTTCCTGTTACCGACTGGACTTGATTCGATGGGTCTTCTTTTGATCTGGAGTTGATGGCAGAGCTCCCCCAAGATAAAGTTGCTGGCTGACCCAGAGTCGAGGAGGGTGATTACTGAAAGAGAGACATCACGAGCAGTAAGGGTGACTTAAGTGGTAAGTGGAGATGCATGAGAACTGGGAGTATGAATACAACTCACCACAGGTTCAAGAGGATGGACAGGGCATAAAGAGATTATATGCCCTCATACTCTGCAGTACAAAGACCCTGGGCAATGAGAATTGTGCACAACCATGGGCTCCGTACCTGGTTTTGGAGAGCTGGCATACTTTGGCTGTTGATGGTAGGAAGAAGACTCTTGGCCCTGTTAGTCCTCCATACAGGTCTGCATACTATGAGAAACACGGATGCAGAGTTGAATGAAATGTTCCAGACCGATGGATTCAGTGTAGGCAGTGAGATACAGCTGCAACTTGGATTACAAACCCTCTCGGTAGGGGGTGAGGAGCAAGCACTCATTCCACCTACTAGTGGTCGCCAGAGTGCGAAAACAGAGTATAATCTGTTATTGCCATCTTACCTCGTTTAAGTGATACAATTGCTCACCCACAGATGAATCACCAAGTGGTCTTCCAAACACTTCTCAGAAATGAGCTACGAAGCTACTGAATGGCTGGGTGACTGGGCCATCTTGGTTCCAAATGGTTTCTGTGCACTGGAGCACTCACCCTGAAAACAGAGTAATTACAAAAGAGATCTTGGATTTCTCAGTAGGAAATTGGTGCGACTGCATCTTGAGGCCAGTGAGCATTGTAGAAAAAAAATCTATTGCAGCCCTCCTCCAAGCCAGAGTAGGGTGCCAGGTTGGCCATGGGAATAACCACACGAACAGGTGCTGAAGGAGTGACTGATGTGGTGATCGATGTTGTTGTGGATGCGAAGGCCCGCCGCAGTGAATCCACGATCTCCTGAATTGGGTTCGTGGAAATCATGTGGTGGTGTTTGTTCTGGTCTACTGTTATGGAAATGCCAGACTCAGAGACCGGATTAGCGGGCAATACACACAGTGATTTTATTAAAAGAGAAAATGCGTAAATGAGTAGCAATGGGTAAGTAGTAATGGAGCAATGCAATACTGGAGAATGAAGAGGTTTACTGTCTTTGCAGATAGAGGGGGAGATTGTGGATTCGCTGGAGTGCACACACTTCTCAGGGATGAAGACTTGGATGAGTAGACACATGATAGAGGATGGTGGAGACACAGGGGAACGTTGGAGGTAAGTCGACTAATTGCGTGTTTATATTAATAAACCATATAATTCCTAATAATGAGCCTTTAAGTGCTCATAAGCGCTTATAAGCACTCAACTGCATGCATAAAGCTTGCCACAGCGCACCGGCAGAAGTAATGATTATGAAAAAAAAAACGGGGAAAAAAACAGCAAGAAGACTGCCTTAACATTATAATAATTCATTGATTGATGTTTTCTGTATTTTTGGCTGCAGTGATGAAGTTGACGACACTGACTCATCATCTCCACAGTGGACGTGCACGTTTCATACGGATCACATAATCTAAAAATATGTGTTTTCCATTTGAATTGGTTCGTTTAAAAGTAGACATTTTCTATAGATATATTTTTCAGTTTTTATAGTTTTTTTTTTTTACATGCTGAAGTTCACAGAGACCTAGACGGCAGAAAGCGCACCCTCTTTGCTTTCATTATTTTACAAAAGCACAACGTTTTGTTGTTATTGTAAGTGCACACAAAAGTAGACCGATTCACAGATTTGAAAGATGTATTACTTTTATCTGTATGAGCAAAAATGGAGTATTTTAAGTTAAATGCAAATGATCACACCGGCGCCTCCAAGTTAACGGTCATGCAGTTATAGCGTGCTACTGTTCAGCTTCCACACTCCGCACAAACACTTCAATAGTGCACATTTTCTAGGCTAACGTTAAAGCGAGCAGCCATGTAATATTGCAACTACTTCCATGTTTCAGATGATAAGCCACATTTGAGGTCGATGATCGAAACGAACACTCGGATGTCCTGACCGTTGTACTGTAATTACCACATAGACCAGCTTTTATTGATCTGCGTGACTTCGGATTTTTTTTCTGCGATTAAGCGACTAATAAAATTGATGGTTAGTCAACTATTAGGGGGCAGCCCTATTAAATTTTTATAAATAAAAGGGGTACCCTTTTTTCAGTTGAGTACATGCCACCCAAAATGTCAGTGCAAGGCCCTAAATATCAGTTTGCATATAAAATATAAAAAAAACTGAAATTATAATATGTTATGGCTTTTTGTGCACTTTTAATGCTGGGAAAATATAATTTTCTGAAATGCATGTTTCCTGTTTACAGACTAAAAATAACTTTTCAGTTTAGAACCTTTTCAAAGAAAATCTGGAAATTTAGCACCAACTGCACTGTTTGCTGAAAATCAATGATGGGGAAAAAAGAGTTCTCTTACCAAGCCCATAAATGAGACTAACGCGGTCACAAATACTGTTGTGTTAAGAACAATGGCTTACCGTGGCAGTAGTTTTGCTCATCCAGTGTAAAACCCGGCAAGCACCGTGAGGCTCCAGCTGCTACACCTTTGTGGTTTGACTGGGTGCGTGTTTGTGGGGTCTGTGGGTTAGTGGGGTTCAGGGGGGTTTGGGGAATAGGGTCTGTGGGCTGGGATGATTCGTCTCCATTAGTGACAAAAATCTGGGCATTCTGAGGGAGGCAGAGGTAGCCGCCATAGTGGTTTATGCACTTCATGCCACCTTTGCAGGCATCAGAGACAAGGGCACACTCATCAATATCTGTTCATGAACATGGAGAGAAAACTGGCATTATGCGTTAGAATCACTTTCTTAGAGACATGAAAATAGGCAAAGGGGCAACTGTTGGTCAGAGAGAGTATACTATATCAACAATATTATTTTATTACCTTTGCATACCTCTTTAATGGGATCATATTCATAGCCTTCTGTGCACTGCTGTGAGGGGAAAAAAACACTGTATAAGAATGTTTTACCTGTCAATTTAAAATATATATGAACTGCAATATCAAAACTACATAGCCTGCTCAAAGATATGCATTATTTATAGTTTTATGTAAATAGACTTGCCGTATATGATACAGGCTCTTCTGCCTCTTGAGAAACAGCACTGGCAGCAACTGTCATTACCAGGTAGATTTCCAACATCATGATGGATCTACATGGGTTAACAAATCAAAACAATATCATAACACCTGTAGTTACATCACTGCTGAACATGTGAGAACATTTCGTGCTGCTTTCATTGGCTCAACTCCAGTCAGAGCTCATGCAGTTCACATACCTCTCTAGAAGTGTGTTTTAAAGTGCTACTGAAAATGTAAACATTTAAAGTGCAATTACAAGCAGCCATCAAACACTTAGAACAGTGTGTTTAGTTCAAACCAGCAGCCCACATACTTCAGGTTAATACACCGTAACACGAGCACTGAAATATAACGTGTGATCTGTTTTGCACATGATTTCATGGTTAAACTCTCATTTTTATTAAATATGACGTTCTTATAAATCATAACGTTTGTGCAAAATAAAATGAACAAACGAAATTTTATCACAGCCTACAGTATCAAATACCTAATATGCATGTACTGTAGAGAAGAGTATGATATAAGACAGCATGCTATAAAACTCCTCTCACCTGCTGTAAGAAGCGTCAGGAGTTTGGAGCTCAGTCCTGTGGATGATGAGGGTTTGATGTCTGTATCGGAATGTCAGAGATGTTTGAGGAACACTTCATGACGCCATCATCGCTGCAGGAATGTGGGAGCGGTGAACAGGTTGTTTCCCGCTGCAGGAGTTTGATGTGTTTGTTTGGTGGGCTCGAGGAAGGGCAGGATGTGGCTCCCCCCACAGGTTCTTTAATAAACTCACTGATGCCAGGCATTGTGCTTATATTATAATAGGCCAGATTGTAATGTCAATGTCATATTGTTTTACATTTTTAATGCAGTAGTCATAAATGTCCTCTATCTGAGCAGTATACTTTAGCAAAATTCTGGAACACTCCCTTCATAGCATTTCCTCTGTTTCTGTATCTGTACTTTGAGCAGTGGGAAAGGTGCTTTATAAATGTAACTATATTATTATTATTATTATTGGACAAAGTGATCGAATGTAAACAAGTAATTGTCCACAATAAAGAACTGACTGATTTCCCTCACTATGCATTGGATTTGACATAAATAAGTAAATAAATAAACAAACAAAACTGTAATTATGGATTTGTGATGCATGTGCAACTATGCGTTTTATTTTATGTGGCTCATCTATGTTGTTTCTATTACATTCCAAAAACCCGTATAATATAAAACCCCTTTACTGTTAAAAAAGGTAACACTTTATTTTATGGTGTCCTTGTTATATGTTACATGTACTATTATAATATTGATAAATTATGCATAATTACATACAAGTAACACTAAACCAAACCCTAATCCTAAACCTAACCATATAGTAAATGCATGAAGTTAATTAATATTACTCAGTAATTAAATGTATAATTACAATGTAACAAGTACACCTTAAAATAAAGTGTAACAAAAAAAAATAAACATTTTAATGTATTTATCACATACATGTGCAATGTTAGATATAATGATGCAGGCACTAAATATGGAGTTTAAGTCCAAAAAGAATCAGTTAAAACACGCAAGAACAGCGGAAAAAACAGGCAACCAAATCCAAAATGTAGCCTAATCAAACAAACACAAGAACTGCAGATTAGAGCCATAATCAAACATACAATACCTGGAAACACAGGAAACGCAGCTCAGCTAATGAGACTTTGCAGTGAGTGAATGAACGGTCTGGTCATTTGAACATACAAACAGGACATGAAGCACAGGTGATGGAAATGAGGGCGTGAGAACCAGTCAGTGATCAAACAAACACATACAGTTTTCTACCGAACACTGAATCCTGACACCCGGAAACCATTCACTACATTCTCCTCTCTCCTCCACCTCCCACCTCCTCTCTGACTTTGCCAGCTATTTGATACGATGGCATCCATCAGCAACAGTTCTCTACAACCAACCTCCACCCACACATTTCCACTCTTCTTTCTCACTCCTCACAGAGAACGAGGTCTCCAAAGTTTTTTGTGTCAGCCGTACTCTGCCCGATCCCTTCCCACGTACTAAAGGAGATCTCTGCTACCCGCTCTGACTCACCTAATCAGCACATCTTTCACTACTGACAACTTTCCCACTGCATTTAAACAGGCTCGGGTAAACGCTGCTCAGGCTACGTCCACATTCATCCGGCTACATTTTTCACTACACATATTTTATTTGTGTTTTAGCCTACACCAAGTCCAGCGAAAACAGAGCTTTTTTGAAGACACTCGCCCAAGTGCATAAATTTGAAAATGCAGCTTTCATGTTGTAGTGTGGCCTATGAAAACGAAGGTATTCGAAAACGGTGATGCACATTGTACCCACACACATTGTGCATGGTTGTACATGCATGTTGTGCCTGCTATTCATTTTATTCATTCATGTTACTAAAGATATGTTTGTCACTTTACATAAGATTCATATTACATTTCTGCAAAGATATTTACTCACAATTGTTATTCTGTGGCAAAAGATGATAACAACTGTGTTTAAGACCAAACATGGAATGGCGAATTTGAGTGTGATTCTTCTGGGGTCTGTTCTTTGTATCTTGCTCATTACATCCGCAATCGAATGACAAATGCAAGATCTAATAGCCTAATAGTGCTAATTACGTTCTGGCTAATTAGGTTCTTCGAGAACACATGCAGATTTGATTAGTATAGCTGGATTGAGTTGCCCAAGATGTGGTACAGAGGTAGGAAAATATTTTTCTGATTATTTCTTATATTGTTTTCTTTTGAAAATGTAGGCATCATAAGGACACAGTATAATGCCTGTTATATTAAATAAAATCTTGTTGGACGTACCCTCAAAAAGCCACCACTCAACCCGTTAGCAGTTAAAACTACAGACCAATCTCTCTTCTTCCTTTTCTGTCAAACCCTTGAAAGAGTTCAATTAGCTCTCTGCTTTTCTCCAACAGAACAACCTACGTGATGACAACCAGTCTGGCTTCAGAGGCGGAAACTTCACCGAGACTGCCCTGCTGACTATTGTTGAAACTCTTTGGCTGGCAAAATGTTTACAAACATTATAAATACAGTTATTATTTTCTCTCCACAACAAATCCTCTAAAGTTAAGGCTGTGTT